CAGCCAGCTGGGCTGGCCGGGCGTCCCGTCCCCGCCCGGCGAGGGCGGATCTGGGAGCGCTTCGCCGCCCGGGCAGCAGAATTTGGAGTAGTGGTTTCCATGCTTTCTCTCTTCTCCCAATAATGCAAACAAAGCGTACTCATTACAGACGGTTAGGTGACGCGGGTGGGTGTAAGAAAAGTAAAAGTAACTGCAATCCGCAAATGTTTTCGGCAGGAGGCTTCCTGACATTTAAAAACGTGTGCCATGTTGTGCAAACTCATATATGTATTTATTACCAAATGGGGTCATACTGTTGCTCTTAAAAACTAGTATTGTGATAAAACATGACCGTGATGAACATAAACGTTTGTCATATGATACATAAAAATATATCGTCTTAACCATTTAAAGTATAATTTAGTGGTATTCAGTACATTTATACTGTTACTTTTTGGAAAATTATCTCCAGTTTGCCGACTGAATTCATATACTGGTTAATTTTGCTGCTAGTATGACACCACTAAGACTTATTTTTGCAAGTATCATTAAAAGAAAACATTTTGCATCTAGGAAGACCAGGTGCTGTAACCTTAAAAACTAAAAAATAAGGGATTGTAAGCTGACAAAGTCTTGCAATCTGTGAGGTCAACCAACGGTTGGCTTGCCTAAAAAATTTTTTTAAAAATTAAAAAATAAAACATTTTGTTTGCAGTTTATTTCCCATAGTACACAGTAGAGGAGGCTGTAAGTGCTCAACAAGTGATATTTGTGGAGAAAAATAGCAAAATCTTGTTTATTAGGATCATTGTCTGTTTTCAAAATGAAAGAGTGGTTTGTAAAATGCAGTTTTTAAAACATAAGCTACATCTCCAGCTTAAGGGTACCATACTGTCCACTGACTTGATAGGCCTAAGAAATCAAGAATGGTCTCCTTCCTAAGTTAAAAGTGGTGGCCAGGAAAGAACACCATCCTGTTTCAAAGCATTTGTAGTTCAGAAGTGAAGACTCATTAATATTAGTTGGTTATTTTGCAAGGAAATGACAGGCAGTGGTTTCAGCTGTATCTTGATTCAGGATTTTAGGGAACGTCCATCTGTTACACACACGTGGATGTCTGTGTGCATAGTTAGGGACTGACCTGTGACGCTGTTCTTACTGTTAACGTTAATGCTGAAGAAAGGCAGACAAGTTTTGGTTTAAAAAGTAATCCTTCCTGACAGCTGAAAAGATGAGAATGTATTGTGCAAACCTCAAAATGTACTTAAAAGGAGAAGTGACGAAAGCTTCAGAAATACTGACTGTTCACTGTTTTCTGTGGCTCCTGCTATCCAGGAAATATTAGTGTATAAGCGTTCTGTGATGTTAGAGAGTTGCTTGAGAGGAAAAATGCAAAACGTGTAGTAAACGTGACTTTCCTTACTTTGCAGTCTTCAGTATTTTTGTATCAGAAAGAATGTGAAAGGGCTCCCTCAGGCGAGTCATGATGTGTTCTCAGGATTGAATTTTTGAGCTTATCCT